TTTCCCTCCTGGTCCAGAACACTTGGTAACCATGTAGTAACCCATAGCAACCAATCAATGTTCAGGTTACTATAGAGACCTCTGTATGACTTCTTGCACTTCACATTATTACATTTATCCTATTTGTCTAATTTAGTAACTGAATTTGACCAAAAAAGTCAAAATTTTTTTTTTCTTCTGTAAAAAAACCTTCGTCTATGTTCACACCTAAGCGGTTTCCGCAGCGTTTTGCAGAAACGCAGTACAGTCCATTTAACATGATTTCCTATGGGACAGGTTCACATCTCTGCGTTTTCACCCGGTGCGTTTGTTGGAAAGAGTCAGGGACTTTTTGAAACGCAAAATGTTGCGTTTTTGTTTCTATAGACTTCAATGGAGGCGCTGCAGAAACGCATGTAGTGCGTTTCTGCTGTGCTTTTGATGCATTTTGCGTTTTTAATCCGCTTAGCAACAAGAAAGAAAGCACAATGCGTCAAACGCATGTGCCAAAAAATGCAAATTGCACCGCAAAATGCACTTCAGAAACGCATCAAATGCAAACTGCACAGGTGTGAACCTCCTATGCAGGTTGCATTTGTGTCATTTCTGTATTGCGTTTTGCATGTTTGCACTTGCGTTTTGCCACGTTTTTGATCTGTGTTCCGTTTTTTTTATTTTTTTTATTTTTCTTGTTGCTAGGCAGGTTTAAAATGCAAAACGCATTAAAAAAAATGTCAAAAACGCAATACATGATTGTCTGCAGCGTTTCCATTGAAGTCTAGAAAACCAAAAACGGCAACTTCTTGCGTTCAAAAAAGCCCCTGACCCTTTGCAAAAAAAAAACGCACCGGGTGAAACCATGTCCCATAGGATATCATTCTAAATGGACTGTAGTGTGTTTCTGCAAAACGCTACAGAAAATACTCCGGTGTGAGCCTAATGTCAGGCAAGTTCTAGCACTGCAATGCAAAAAAGCAACACTGGATCTGGGCAATGAGGGGTTACAGTTGAAGAGGAGTGGCTGGAGGTGTCAGCTGACCAGTTCTTAGTTCACCATGCAGGTTTTTTTTTTTTATTTCTTTTTACTTTATTTTAGTTTTTTCCCCTTCTCTGCAGCTGTCCAGGAAAAGAGAGGCATCTCGGCACTGATTTCAAAAGAAAATAGTGTTTTTTTAGCCTTTTTGAGAGTTTGTCCATTTGTCATTGATGCAAATAAAGTTGAGTGAGAAAAAAAAAAGTGTCTGCCCTATAAATACAGGTGCAAGTGGCAGCCATTTTGTCTAGCACATGGTCTGATGCTGCCACATGGTTGGTGAGTGGAGTTTGTATTGGGTTTGTTTGGTACATTTTAGGCTTTTTTTTTTTGCTGCACTTTTGTTTAAATGTGACAAATATATGTTACTGGGGCTGGTTTACTAATACTGGAGTGCAAAATCTGTGCATGGCAGCCAATCAGCTTCTAATCTCAGCTTGTTCAATTAGGATTTGACAATAACATCTGGAAGCTGATTGGTTTCTGTGCTGAGCTGCACCAGATTTTGCACCCTGCAGTTTTTGTAAATACCCCCCACACTCCTAATGTATCATGTCAGTTTGGGTTACTATCACCTCTGTTATTGGGGGGGGCTACCTTTATTCTTTATTCAAACTAGCAACTACTGATGATCAATGGGAAGCTTTTTGTTTTTTTTAATATATATATATTTCTGATGGGAAGCATGTCCCAGCCACTCTTTTCATTGGTGATGGAAGGATGTATGTCACCCCCAGCCCCCCTTCTTCCTTTTTTTTTTTCAATGGTGATGGGAAGCATGTCACTCATCTGTGACAAATGGGGCGCATGCCCTCCCCCATAACATCAGTGATCTATGGGAAGCATGCCCCCCCCCCCTATTGATCATCAATGGGGAATGTTTTAGTGGATAATTGTTGCATTTTACTGCAGTGATAATTGGGGCTTATTCAATGGAGAGTACAATGTGTAATATGAGGGATGGGGAAGCCTGGCTCCCCCTTATCATTGCTGATGGGGAAGGTTGCCCCCCACCCTCCTTATCATTGCTGATGGGGAAGGTTGCCCCCCACCCTCCTTATCATTGCTGATGGGGAAGGTTGCCCCCCACCCTCCTTATCATTGCTGATGGGGAAGGTTGCCCCCCACCCTCCTTATCATTGCTGATGGGGAAGGTTGCCCCCCCCCCCCTCCTTATCATTGCTGATGGGGAAGGCCGCCCCCCCCCCTCCTTATCATTGCTGATGGGGAAGGCCGCCCCCCACCCTCCTTATCATTGCTGATGGGGAAGGCCGCCCCCCACCCTCCTTATCATTGCTGATGGGGAAGGCCGCCCCCCACCCTCCTTATCATTGCTGATGGGGAAGGCCGCCCCCCACCCTCCTTATCATTGCTGATGGGGAAGGCCGCCCCCCACCCTCCTTATCATTGCTGATGGGGAAGGCCGCCCCCCACCCTCCTTATCATTGCTGATGGGGAAGGCCGCCCCCCACCCTCCTTATCATTGCTGATGGGGAAGGCCGCCCCCCACCCTCCTTATCATTGCTGATGGGGAAGGCCGCCCCCCACCCTCCTTATCATTGCTGATGGGGAAGGCCGCCCCCCACCCATTATCATTGCTGATGGGGAAGGCCGCCCCCCACCCTCCTTATCATTGCTGATGGGGAAGGCCGCCCCCCACCCTCCTTATCATTGCTGATGGGGAAGGCCGCCCCCCACCCTCCTTATCATTGCTGATGGGGAAGGCCCGCCCCCCAATCATTGCTGCCGCCCCCCCCCTCCTTATCATTGCTGATGGGGAAGGCCGGCCCCCCCCCTCCTCCTATCATTGCTGATGGGCAAGCCCGGCCCCCCCCTCCTTATCATTGCTGATGGGCAAGCCCGCCCCCCCCCTCCTTATCATTGCTGATGGGCAAGCCCGGCCCCCCCCTCCTTATCATTGCTGATGGGCAAGCCGGCCCCCCCCTCCTTATCATTGCTGATGGGCAAGCCCGCCCCCCCCCTCCTTATCATTGCTGATGGGCAAGCCTGGCCTGGCCCCCCCCCCTCCTTATCATTGCTGATGGGCAAGCCTGGCCCCCCCCCCCTCCTTATCATTGCTGATGGGCAAGCCCGGCCCCCCCCCCTCCTTATCATTGCTGATGGGCAAGCCCGACCCCCCCCCCCCTCCTTATCATTGCTGATGGGCAAGCCCGACCCCCCCCCCCCCCCTCCTTATCATTGCTGATGGGCAAGCCCGGCCCCACCCCCCCTTATCATTGCTGATGGGCAAGCCCGGCCCCCCCCCCCTCCTTATCATTGCTGATGGGCAAGCCCGCCCCCCCCTCCTTATCATTGCTGTTGGGAAAGGCGGCCTCTCTGCTCTGTGCAGGGGGAAGGAGTGGCTGGCTCAGGCTCTCAGCAGCACACTGAGAGGCTGAATCAGCTGCCAATCAGGCACAGTCTGCACTGGCTAAAGCCCGCTGTCAGCTGAATCTGGGTCACAGGAGAGCAGAACTAAGTGCAATTCTGTTGTCCCAGAGGAGAAGTATGGAAAAAGAGCTTTACTTTGGCCATATCTTCTTTAAACCCAAGTTAGCCAGGCAGCTATCAATTTTCAGTTGTATTTCCTGTGCTGTTCATTCATGTCATTGCCAGGTGGATGTGCAGGGGACTTTTATATTCCATCTGCTCCCAGTACAGGATTTTAACTTGGGTGCTCCAATGATGTAAGCAAACATGCTGCAACTGTGAACTGTCAGACTGATTTTTATGTACTTTAGTTCCTTGACTCCACTTAATGGCTTAATAAAATAAATGTTTGGTAACTTTCTCATAGCTCTAACTGGGAGAATTTTTCAAAGCTGCATCTGTACATGGTTAACCAATCGGCATATTGGAACACAGTGAACATAGAAGCTGATTGGCTGCCATACACCGTTGCTCCAGTTTTGATAAATACCCTCATCAAACTCTTTGCACTTCCTGAATGGCACCCAAATACACATTTTATATAATAAAAATATATTTTATATAACATATATATATATATATATCAAAAACACAAGCCCCTTTATAGCATACCACAGTTTAAGGACTCATGTACACGGGGCGTTTGGAAAACTTCAGAACGATGGAAATTGACTGCTGGAAAATGTAGATTAAAAAAAGCCAGTTTAGCCACATTTGCATGCTGCGTTAAGGTTCATTTTATGGTTGTTTTGCGTTTAAATGCGTTTTTAAAAGATAACCTCAGGAGACCTTCCCAAATGCCCAGAATGCACTGAAAAATTGTAAAAAAAATTAACTATTTCAGACATTTTGAGAGGAATAGAGCGAGCAGAAGCAGAGAGAGCAGTATGTGTTGAGATGACCTGTCTTTTCTGGTTGTATTCACTATGGATCCCATCATGAGTAGAATGTGGCGCGTTCTACCATTTTTTTTGTTCACGTGAAATCTGGAACTGACTGCGCTGGTGTACCGGGTCCATTTGAATACATGGAAAACGCTTTGCATACATTTCTGATGATGAAAAAAGGCTCTGGACATGGAACAGTTAAAATGCTTCCAAACGCTTATAAACGTGGTTCAGCGCGTTTACAAGCATTTGGTGTTTGAAACGCCGGTAAAAATCTATTCCTGAACGTAAGTTTGGTGCATTAAAAAAAAAGACTGTAAACTCAACTGCCCGTAAATGACGATGTGTACATGGACACATAGGAGAACATTAGGGAGAGTTCAGGGGCTGCTGAAAAAAACGCTGAACAGCTCCTGAACGTCAGTTTAGGAGCTGCTGTGTACATGAACCCTAAAGATGTGAAAGGCCTGAGCATTGAATGAACAGTGTAAGGCTCTCTAGGTGCAATGTGTAGACAATATGAATTCACATTAATGGTAGAGGTGATTGTAGCTGTATTAGTGCATTTGCGACAAACAATTCAGTACTGTCCGTGATACTTTTTTTTTTTTTTTTTTGCACTAACACACATTTTTGAAGACAAGCTTTCGGGGAGTGTCCCCTTCTTCAAGGTCCAAACAGTACTCAAGAGCAGTGGTGGACTGACAACTCATGGGGCCCCCGGGCAATAGGGGATCGTGGGGCCCGTGTCCTTGCCCAAACTCAAAAAAGCCTATGAAAAAGGTACCAGGGGCATCTCATGGGGCCCCCTACTGACCCGGGGCCCTCGGGCAGTGCCCGAGTTTCCAAATGGTCTGTCCGCCCCTGCTCAAGAGAACTGCTTGGACCTTGAAGAAGAGGACACTCCCCGAAAGCTTGTCCTCAAAATTGTATGATACTGCAAATAAAAAAAGTATCACCGACAGTACTCAATTGTTTCTGACATTAATGGTAGAATCTAATATATTGTAAATGCTTGCGTATGCTACCAGCTTCTTGAGCTCCAAGGCCCCGTTCACACTGTGTGTACCAGAAACTAGTGTTTCTGCAAATGCGTTATTAAAACGTGCGATGCGTGTCCTTGGAGCGGAGGGAGGACCGTTCAGATGAATGTTGCTGCTCCAAAAGTGTGCTAAAGAGGCAAAACGCAATGCGGTTGCTCAAGTGTGGACGGGGCGAAGTGTCGGGAATGATTTGGAGTCTCATTAGAAAGAAGCTGCTTTTGTATAAGCGATGAAACCTCTTAAACATGATAGAGCAAATCCATTTTAATGTGACTTGAGGGATCTTTCATGAGGTCTGTTTCCAATCTGCTCAGCAGGGAACTCGTGAAGTGATGCAGAGCAGGCATGAGCTCAGAAGTGTTTGAACCTGTTTGAGCCGTGCTGATAGTAAACTATTGGAGTGGATAAACAATCATGTAGCGGGGGCATTTTCCACTCCACAGCCGTGCATATACATGCCCCTTGCATACGTGTAGCTGTAGGTTGGGGGGGGGATGATCCTGTTTGAGCCATCCTGATGGTAAACTATTGGAGTGGATAAAACAATCATGTAGCGGGGGCATTTTCCACTCCACAGCCGTGCATATACATGCCCCTTGCATACGTGTAGCTGCAGGTTGGGGGGGGATGATCCTGTTTGAGCCATCCTGATGGTAAACTATTGGAGTGGACAGCCAATCATGTGGCAGGGGCATTTTCCACTCCACAGCCATACTTGTATGTATACATGCCCCCGTGCATATGTGTAGCTGCAGGTTGGGGGGGGGGGAATGCCTCTGCTGCCTATGATTGGCTTTTCACTTTAACAGCTTTCTGGTGGGATAGCTCAGGTGGGTGGTCGGAGTCTTCATGGCTCATCCCTAATTTGGAGCAGAATGGGACAGGTGACACTTCGTCTCATCTGTGCTTGTCCAATGTATTTTCACTTTTTGACAGCTGACCTTTTCAGATCCAATGTCCAGTCTATGGGCAGCTGGATGAAAATGGACTTGCATCCGTTTAAATCAGGCTTCCCCAGAAACATAAGGTTTTGGTCCTGTAAAATGGAAAAGGATACAGGCAAGCAGATGTAAGTCTATAGATTTACACTGAGCTACCGATCAGATCCACCAGAAAAATGGACAGGTGATTGAAAAAAACCTGTAAGAATAGAATCTGCTACCAGGCAATCCTTGTGTGCGTCTGGTTGTGAACACTGGTGAACTGTATCCTAAACGTTCATCCTGAGCTTTGGCTTCACTTTTTGAAGAGGGACTTTTTAGAACTGAATAACTTTCTGTCCTGAAGAAAGGACGTAGAGAAATGTGGCCTGCAATGGTTGGCATCCCATTCAGAAAAAATGCTAGTTACATGGCTCCTGGATTTCTTTTGGCCTTGGTGTGTTTGGTGCTGACCCTAGTATTGTAAAACTCGTATAAAGTCAATGATTCTTCACACCAAATGTAACAAGCTTGTGTGTGAGATGTGAGTATAAACGCAATAAATGTGATTTGTTCAATTCACAATTGTATGCAAAAAAAAAAAGTGAAAGTCCACTCAAAATAGGTCAAACTGGATCATAAAGACTGTCACCAGGTCTCCCAAGGGTGAGTGCTCCCCTTACAAATAAGCCCTCATTACAGGGGCCAATAAAGCCTTAACAGTACATGACAAGCCCATGGTCTCTGTCAGCTACAGGTGGGTATGCTCATGGACACACTTTTTTTTTTTTTTTCTGAGGCTGAGTTTTGACACTTGTGTATATAGTTTTGATCAACAGAGAAGCAAATGTGTCCACGAGTCCAAGCCAGCGAACTGATAAAACATTGCTGGACATGCTGACTTGGAATGCTTTAAAATAGTGTTTTTTTTTTTTTTTTTTTTTTGTGCAAATAAAGCAATGCATGTTTTTAAATTTAGATTTATTATTTGTTATAGATGTATTCTGATTGTAATTAATTATTATTATTGATGTGGCATCCTGACAAAGAAACTTGGACTAGGATTTTCTAGGCACCAAAAACACATCTAACAATTGACATTTTTTTTATTGAAACATACCGCTTCGGCCGATTTTAATTATTTATGTCCAGTAACTGTCCCAATCTTTACTATCAGACAAAACTATCTCACATGTTACAAGAGAACAGTCACATGTTGACATGATTATACATATTAATACCAACATGTTTTATCACCTTCAAAACCTCCCTTCGGGGAAGAGCAGGTTGATCTGAAATAAGAATGCATATAACCGTTTCCTTTGATATAGCTATAAAATAATCACAAACCATTTTCTTTGAAATGCATTATGTCAGATTAGCCTCCACTTCCTTTGATGATTTTGAAGTTAAAACTTGTCAAACGTATAATTATGTCCAAATTTGACTATTTTGCAACATATGTATATTGGGGTAGTTTTGATTTGACAGTAAAGATTGGGCCAATTACGGCCACAAAGAATTATCAGTCAAAACTGTCTCTATGGACTTTTTTAGCCATTTTTCAATAAAATAGTTCTTTCCCCTAGTCATCTTCTAGGACCGCTCACTTGAGAGATAGGGCTCCTCCCAGGAAACACCCGCTCCACCTTTTTTTTTCCCTTTTATAGGCGTCCTCTCTCCCATTGGCCCCCAGTTTTTAGTGTTTCCTCCGGCCAGGAAGGAGCTACGCCCGTTTTTTTTATTTTTAGTCTGGGCTCTCTGGCGGAGTACAGGGTCCCTGGCTGAGGCCCCCCCCCTTCCTCCAAGCGAGGCAGGGTCCTTGTGAGGGGGGGACCTTTCAGCCAGATTCATCCTGGAGTGCTCTTTGTAGGGTGGGGGCGTCGGCCCCAGATGGTCCCAGCGGGGCTCTCCAGGGGGGTAGAGCCCGCTCCGCCGACCGAGGCATTGGTGCCTTTCCCTGCGGGGAATTCAGGTAAGTCTTACCTGCTCCTGGATCCCGGCAGCATGGCCAGGAGGCGTGGCTGCGGAAGGTCTGGACGCTGCGATTGCGTCACTTCTGGGCGTCGGGTGACGTCACTTCTGGCGCAGGAGCATGGAACGGCCGCCGCCATCTTGGAAATGGGCGGCGGACCGTGGAAGGAACCCGTGCCACGGCCGCTTCTCCACCGGCGGCCGTGAGAGGGAGGTCGGCGAGGGGGGATCGCAGGGGGGGGCGGAGCCCACCAGCCCCTGAAAAACCACCGCACCGAGGCAGAGTCTGCGGCAGCATGGAGGCAGATCTGTCAGGAGCGGGGGAGGCCTGCAGTAAGGTAAGGGCCTTTGTTTGGCCACTCTTCTTTATTTCCCCCCCCGGATAATTGGGTACCCCCCTCTCCCCCCCCAGGCCCACGGCTGGAACTTTCACAGTGGCACGGGGGGGGAGGCGTTACTTTACAAACGCATGGACGCGTGTATCTCCTTGTCCCCAGATGGGCCCACAGGAGGAGGATAGAGGGGAGAAAGAAGCTCCTTGTGAGCAGAAAAAGAAGTGTGCCACTTTCAGGAAGAAACTGTCGAGCTCCTGGAGGAAGCAGCTCTGCCAGGGGTGTATAGACAAGCTCATCAAGAAGGAGTCTGGATCTCTTTTTAAAGACTTCCTACAGAATATGACGCAAGAGATGTCCAAGACATTTCAAAGCTTCAGGGAACAGGGGCCGGCCCAGGATGAGCCCCAACCGGCACTTCAGGCAGCACCCAAAGGGGGAAAAAGAGGAAGCTGGACAAGGTAGCGACTGTAAGGGACTGGGAAGAGGCCGAACAGTCGGACACCTCAGATTCGGAGGAGGGTGAGATTGAGGCTCAGGGCCCAAAGGCAGACAGGTTCCTTTTTTCAGGTGGAAGACACGGAGGACCTGTTAAAGGTGATCTACGAGACCCTGGATCTGGAGGAGGAACAGCAGGACCTCTCTCTCCACGACCACCTGTACACAGGGCTACAGGCAAAAAGCAGCCGTACATTCCCAGTGCACCCTTCCCTATGGTCCACGATCAGGAGAGAATGGGAAGAGCCGGAGAAGAAGGCTTTCCTTCCCAAGAACCTCAAGAGACGTTTCCCCTTTAAGGAAAAAGATGCCTCGGTTTGGGAGACTTGCCCGAAGCCAGACGCCCCTCTCTCGAGGATCTCAAAGGAAACGGACCTGTCCTTTGAAGACGGTGGGTCCCTAAAGGACCCGATGGATCGGAAGCGGATGCG